TCCACCCTCCACCCTCCACCCTACCACGTGCCTACTGCCTACTACCTACCTACGAGGTAAGAAATCCTCACAGCCTCGACCTCGCACCAACCAGATCATCCCAGTCCTTTTGGGTAAAGCGGACATAGCGACCCCCTCGCAAAACATAGACCCGATCACCGCGCACCCGAGACGGGTCGACGCCTTCAGCCCGCGGCTGCACTTTCTCCTGCTTCAGGCCCATCGAGTTGAGGGAGCCGGTCGGGACGATACGGAGGAAGAGGGGGATCGCGAAGCCAGGGAGGTCGCGTTGGGCGTGGCTATACATTGTTAGCGGAGGTGACAGAGTTAACAGAGTTTCGCTGGGCGAGGAGCGATGGAAAGGGAGAGAGGGGGGGGGGGGGGGGGAGGTGAGAAGAATTAACAGTAGAAAGAAATAGATAAAGGGGGAACATACCTCAACAGCCCATCAAGATCAAACCCCTGCCCAACTTCCCCGTCCAGCATCAGCGCCGCGCATCCCGCCCGCCCGTCGTGGTTGGGCACCTGCACACCATAGACATTGGCGTCAATCACCCCGGGGTATCTGCCCAGACACTCCGAAACCTCTGCCGTAGAGACATTCTCGCCCTTCCATCGGAACGTGTCGCCCAGCCGGTCGAGGAACGACCACCTCCCGTCGCTGTCGCGCTTGAGCGAGTCACCCGTGCGGTACCACAGGTCGCCTTTCCGAAACACGTCGCGGGCCAGTTTCTTCTCCGTCGCCTCGCGGTTCCTCCAGTACCCGACAAACGCGGCCTCCGAGGCCAGCCGGAACAGCAGCTCGCCGCCGACCTCGTAGGGCATGCGGACCGCGAACCCCGTGGCGGCGTCGCGCACGATCTCGTGGCTCTCGGCGTCGACGAGCACGGGCACCATCTCCCCACGCAGCTGCCACCGGCGGAGCAGTCCGTCGTGGCCCACGGCGTCGCGCAGAAACTCGCCCTCCTGCACGTTGAGGTGCGACAGACCCCCCTCGGTCGAGCCGTAGAACTCGCACACCCTGGGGATCCCGAATCGTGACTGGAACCGGCCCCACACGTCGGGTCTCATGCCGTTGCCGTACACCATGCGGAGGTTGTGCTCGCGGTCGAGCGCTGAAGGGGGTTGAGCGAGCAGATAGCGCGCGATTTCGCCGACGTACGTGGCAATAGTTGAGCGAGAGGTACGCACCTCGTCCCAGAAGCGTGAGGCCGAGAATTTCTTGCTGTTATTTCCCGTCAGTTCAAGGAGCAGGAAAAAAAAGACCAACACCAGGAAATTTGGTCTTCAATCTCTAACTAACTAACCCTATGCACAGTGTGGTCGGCATGATCATGCAGATGATAGCGGCAGACCCTGCGGTCGAGTGACACATCGGTATGCAAATGTACCATCGATCTCCCGAGCCGTCTTCTCGCAAAGGTTGAATGCCCATTTGGGTGAACTGGCTGGCGAGTCGTGCGTAGTATCGGCCGATGGTCGCCATGACGCCCTTGGGATACCCCGTCGTGCCACTCTTGGAGGGTCAGCAATGCCAGACAGACAGAGTTCATTATCTTAGATCTCGGCAGAACACAACTCGGGAGGATTTTTGTACTGGTACACACCTCGTGTAGCGCAATGCTAGCCTCGTCTTCTCACCTATATCCTTGGTATACTCAGCTGCCGCGCTGGGCATCTCTCCTGGGAATCGTGCCAGCCGCGCCCGGAAATCTCCATCAATGACATGCACGCTGATTTGGAGCTGTTGTAGCTCTTTGTCCTCCAGTAACGACGAGGAGGAGACTCGGTCCCGAAAGTCTTCGTCGACGAGCAGGATCCTGCATTCCGCGATCTTCACGCAGTGCACCAGCGCGCCGCCCACGAGGTTGTAGTTGATCATCGCAGGGTAGCACCCGATGGCGAGCAGGCCGAGCCATCCCAGCACGAAGTCCGGGCTGTTTTGGAGGTAGAACCCGACACAGTCGCCGGGTCGGACGCCGGCTTCCAGGAACCACTGCGCGTAGCGACAGGCATGCTCGCGCGCCTCGCGCCAGGTGTAGTTGTGGACCGTGGGCGGGCTGGTCGATGGGTCCGAGTACCATATGCAGTCCCTGTCGGCGAACTTATCGGCGTTGTCGCAAAACGAGGCCCAGAGGTTGATCTTGTTTTGCGCCTTCAGCCGCGCCTGGTACCGATCCCCGCGGCGATGGTAGTAGATCTGCGTCAAGTCTTTCGCCAGGTGGAATTTGGCGTTGAGATAGGCTGAAAGGGCCGCGGCGCCGGCGAGTCCAACTGCTGCGGTTGTTGCTGCTACTACATTCACCACCACCGACACCGACGTTAGATATGACTTGCACACTCGAGTTGTAGTTCAACCGCCATACCCATTTCGATCTGCAGTAACAAAAGCTTAGGGAGGCGAATGCTCGGAGGGCCGAGCCTTTAATCGTGCAATGCTCTCCGAGCTTAGTATGCACTCTCCGATAGGTGTCTTTTTCTTGGTCTGGATCGAACCACAAAGCCAAGTCAAAGTCAATATCCTCTAGACATTTCGATCCTAAGGTCTTTACGAGCATTCCCAGGGGTCTCAATTTTGTGTGTCCATGAACCCATGCAAAGACAGCAAAGTGGAAGCGGGGTTTGGGACATTCCCCCAAACCAGGGCCGAGGCGCAACGATGGGGGCCATCAGGAGTGTCTTCGGCAATTTGGGGAGGGGGATTGGGGCGTTTCTGTTCGAACAGGGGTGGTCCCTGACGTGGTGTTCCGTTCCGTCGGATGTATCACGCCCTTCTAGATCCCATCTAGAGGACGACCGAGTGGAACGGGTGCTGTCGCCGTGCGAGTGAAAACGCCCAGTGCTGGTTGCGTGAAGCGGTTCCGTAAGGATCAAGATACGTGTGGAGTGCCTATAGGGGACAATCCTTGACGGAAGCCGGCTTGTCCGCTCCGGGTCTTGTATGCTTCGTTGAAATCTAGCAAGTATCCAGGCCGAATGCCGCCCATCGTGAAGCATCTACCCGAGCATTCCAAAGAACAAGGAATCATTCGCCCCATTGCCAATGAGGAACTCGTCGAAGAAGCTATCACCCATGGCCGGCGACGAGAACAGGGTCAAGCCTGGGAAATCCCACTCGAAAACAAACTGCTCTGGCACGAACGTCTCGATCTCGTTCGCCGTCGCGGTGCCTCCTGTGGTCCAGAAGAAATTGAGCGGCGAGCGAGGATCTGGCGGAATGTTGACTTCCTCGAGATTACTCTGACCGCCGGGAGGAGGAGGAGGTGCCGTGCCGTCGTTTTGAAGTGCGCGGCCGTACTTTTGGATGCTTTGCTGGAGGACTTGCAGGTACATCCTGCTGGTGTTGCTGCGGCCGCCGCTTGTCCATCCACCCCCTGCTTTGTTGAGTTCATTCAGGAGCATATATCCGTCATCCAGCAGCTGTCGCTTCGAGCTGTCGTCCTCTTCAGGCAGCAGCCGGGTCAGTTTCAGGAGCAACAAAAAGCAAAAGGCGCACTTGGCCCAAACAAAGTCCGTCGCGTAGCAAAATTTGGACAGGTAATGTTGCGGCTGGTCCAGGATGATTCGGAGATGGCCCTTGAGAGCATCCTTGGCCATGTGTAGGATGTCCCGCTGTGTCATGGTCATGGCGGCAATGTTTTCACTGCCCAGAGCACGCAGCGCCCGGCACAGGGCAACAGTCTGAGACCAATACTTTTGCACTTCAAGGTTGAGCAGGAGTACCGGCGTCTCGGCACTTGGTGAACCTTGCATGATGTTCTTCCAGTCGTTGTACCAGACATCGATGTCAACCTGAACGTCACGGAGGATGTCCATGACCGCGTCTTCATCCAGTACCTCCGTCCCCGCCATGGAGTCGTGCGTCCTCCCTCTGAGCGAGTTCAGCTCGACCTGCGATAGTAATCGAAGGTCCAGAACCGAGGTGAATGGTTTGTCCAGAAGGATCCGGCATCGCCTCGGGTCGCCTCGCAGATGGAAACTCCGCAAATTACCTGCGTCCACCCGAAGGATCTGCTCGAGCACCATCAGCTGAAACCAAGCTCGAGCGCGTCTCATCAACACAGCATCAGCCTCGTCGTACTTCTGTGAGCCCGGACCCTTGGATAGTGGACTCCTACTAACAATCTTTCTGGTCAAATCCTCGTACGCGTCCGGAAGGCCCAAGTCGAGGGCCATCCTCGTTGCAAACGCAAGGAGCAGAGACCTCTCTGACGTATAGCAAGCCGTGACTAGGAGAGCTTGAATAGTCTCCAGAGACGCATGCTCGGGATTGACAATGACCAGGTTTAGCATCTTCTTCAGGTGGAAGTTGAGGAGATGACAGATTTGAGAATCTGCGTCGCTGAGCACGCCGCATCCGATGGTAATGATTGCGTTGAAGAGTAGCGCACTCCGGGAACTGATCGACTCGAATGTATCGTGTAGAGCATCGAAAATGGGGACGTAGCGATCGCAACCTTGGAAGAAGGCGTTGAAGAACAACTCGGCTTGGTCAAGTGTGACGAGGCCTTTGGCCGCGAAGTTGGGCACCGAAGCCACCTCGACTTCAAACTGAGATCTAGTGCGCTTGCGACGCAGATGGTTGGGATTTGACTGCATTTCCGAGCCAGCCCTGTTCAGACTGATCACTTGTTCTGGTGATCCAAAGGCAGAGGCCGTCGAGGTTGTCGCGTCGATGGTGCTGAGGGATGCGTAGAGGTCGTTCTGCTGAGACTCCAACCTCTCCTTGAGCATTTGCACCTCTTTCTCCAGAGCCTCGATCTTTCTTTGATTGAAACCAAGCGTATCAGGACCCGACAGAGGACGCGCGGGGACGTGGAAGGGGGCCGTGGGAGGGCTCACTGTTCATGGGGGTCTGGCGGTCTCTCGACGTACACGCAGACCTTTTTCAGATTGTGACATCTTTCGACTGTGAACACAAGAAACGTCGAATAACCCCCGGCACTTTGTTCTTCTGGACTCTCTTACCGAGAACAGGGTCTCTCTCCGTCACATTTCACTTTACTTGCTCTGCACGAGCCGCATGCTTTCTGATGAGGCAGACAATCAACATCCGACCCGACATTTCTACACAGGGTCAAAGAGTAAGCGACTCACTGGTATTCTCTTCTTGCCGATTGCCACAGAAGTAGCCGATACTTCTTCCTCCATGGTCGGAGACGCGGGGATCGTCGAATCATTCACGCCATTGTTCTGGGATGGAGGTTGTGAATTAATGTTGCAGGGTTATGTTATATAAGAGGGAAAGATGTTTCGGAATCTGCTCCTCGGTAAATTGACACCGAAGAGGTGGGGATTTTATCCTCGAGTAAGTAACAGGGATTCGACAAAGGCTCATGAAGATGAAAAGGAGAGAATCTGCTTGTGCACGAGGGACGGGGGGAGCCACCGATGCCTGTACTAAGCAATCCAGCCGCCCGTCTAGGTGACTTTAGCAATGCTTAATTGGAACAATAATCGGCTTCTAGAAAAAGGTTATGCACTTAATAGCACAGGTAGGACCTGAGACGCTTACATCCCTCAGGGAGCTGACTCGTGCAATATACAACATGGCCGGTTTTGACCATTCCGGGATTATCAGAGCATCGCATCATTTACTTCATTCGTAGCAACCAGCAGAAACCCCCAAAAAGCCCGCTCACTAATAGACGAAAATGAAATCCTCATTCTCCCAGTCCGTCTTGTCATTAAACGCCTGGTGGCCCGTCATGTCTTCGTCCTGCTCTTCAGAAGCGCCCTCCGTTGACGCTGCTCGAACCCGGTTCATCGATTTGTCGACCAAGATTGCGCGCTTGCCCATACTCTCTCTTGTCTTCCCATGTCGCTTGTTGAGCACGAGCAAATAGCAAACCTGGGCGGCGTAGAGGCCAATAAGGACGACAAAGAGGGCAAGACTGTTTTGGGGGTAGAGGTTAGCACTTGTAACAAGCGACAATAAGATTTTCTCACACGTACTTAGACAGTAATCCGCGGTGATAGAGCGGTGCTTCTCCCGTTGTATATAGATTGGGTCCAAGCACGTTGCCGGCGCATTGGGCGATGAAGAGTGCGCCAGTCGTGACCTTCTTCTTCGTCTCCCCAGCTGTGTTTGCCGCAGACCAGGAATAAATCAATGGTGCTGAGCATGTTAGTGGCTTTCAATGAGAGGAAAAGAAGGTCATGCGGATCTTACTGATGCCGGGATAGACTGAAATCTGGATCTTCTGTCAATCATAGCCACGAATGGGTAAAGTGCAAGAGAAAGAAACTCACCAAGTAGTAGGCCACCAACAGTGGCGCTTTGGCCGATGCATCCCGCGGAAGATGCAAAAGCATGGCGCAGCCTGCAATGGGTGGGAGACTGAGGAATGCCAGGACGGGAGACTTGAGCTTCAGGGCCGTTGCAGCCCATGCACCGCCCATGGTGGCGATCAGCTGGACGGCACCAAAGGGCATGTTCAGAAGAATCGTTTCGAACTGATCAAAGCCAAAGTTCTTCACAATCAGGGGGCCAAAGGTCGAGACGCCGCCACTCGGCACAGAGATGGTAAACATCATAGCCGCCCAAAGCCATGTCTTGATATCGAGGGCTGCTTCTTTGACGTGGGTCCATTTCCATTCGGTACCTTCGACACCCTGGTTGTTTGCCCTCAGCCTAGCTAGAGTTAGCCGGAGGTCACTGACAACATCATGTAGCAGGTCAGCCCACCTCTCGATGGCAATCAACTTGTCTTCGCCTTTGAGGAAATGCGCGGTAATAGGAGAATCCGGGAGGAAAAACCAAACTACCACGGAGAAAACAACCGTGATTAAGCCAAAGAACAGGAAAATAATCTGCCTCATCGAGTTAGAAACAATGTCCCTCATTTAGACTTCCAGAACCGATAGGCATACCTGGTAGGGCTTAAGTGAACTCGAGTGAATATGGCCAATTCCATACGTCAACAGGGAGCCAACAATGTTGGTGATGCCGTTCATCGCATACCAGGCTCCGAGCCTGACGGGTTGCTCTCGTCGCCGCCACCACATCTGAGTGAGAGCGATGAAAGCGGGAGCTGTGAGCCAGTAAGTAAGGACATCGAACCATAAAATATAGCCATCGACATACCCACACCGGCCTCGAACAGGCCCAGGAATAATCGACACACCAGCAAGCCTGCAAAGTTGTGCGCTGCTGGCATGGCTGACAAGGAAATACCCCAGAGCAAGACGATGACGGCGAGAAACTTCCCCAGCGGCAACTTGACCAGGGCATAGGCGATCAAAGGTTGCGCCACTAGCTGCGCCAGGTAGACGACAGCGCCCAGCCAGGAATACTCGTGTCCGACGAGATTGGTGTCCTCGACAAGGCCAAACACCGAGGCGTAGGCCAATGTGGCCTTGTCCAAAGCCTGCAGGAAATAGATCCCAAGCACCACTGGGAGTATGTATAAATCGATCTTTCTCAGGACTCGAGAGTTGTTCTCGGGGGTGAGGACGATGCGTTGTCCGGCTGCTTCGCTGAGGATCTTGTTGGCCCTGTCGTTCTTCAAGTCGCCCACGTCGACTTTGCCTTCGACATGGTCGGCGGGTACTTTGACACCGATATCTTCCATAGTGTATGAGGGAGGTGCGTTGTGGTCTTGAGCCAACACTGACGGGGTCAAGTAGTGAAAGGTAGATGCTCGGTCGAAGTCGAACAGAGAGACGAATAAAGCATATAGCTCCACTGACCGCACAAACAGCAGAGTCGGCCAGGATAAATACCCATCAGACGAAACGTTGCATCGTCCAAAGCATTCGGGCCTGTCAGCCGACGGTGAGCACGCCTCCTTGTATTCGATCCATACCCCCTTTGGTACCGGGGAAGCGAATGAACTCCGTACGGGAGCCCCAAGTTCATCTCAGACTTGCTCCAGACAATTTCCCAAAAAGCAGGTTCTTCCTAGTCCAAGCATGATGGGATGATCGGCGACGCCACCAATGCGGGGAGACGTTAGAGACCAAAGAGCAGGGCAAAGGCCGTTCGGTCTTTGTGTGCCAACAGCGAAGCTAGCGAGGAGAAAGGAGCAATATGATTGGAATGTTTGTATAGCCGATGACAGGGATCGCATTTCGCTGCCGAAGTCCGATCCCTGCAGCATCGCGAATCCTCCGAAGGTCAAAGATGTTACCTGCAGCTCCAACCAAGGGAAACATGAAATGAGGAACTGACGGCTGGCAGATGTGAGCCTTGGAGGTTGAGTATCTCCCTTTCACAGGCCACCCTTCCACGGTGCTCTCGTCGCCGCCGTGCTATCGTCAACGTTTCTTCGTGCCCGCTTCTCAACATGCCCCAAATAGAAAGCATTCCCAAGTCATACAGGCCAGTCATTCCGCAGTCCAAGGCGCCAGCAGCGGTTCAGCTTCAATCAGAAGACCTAGAGTCACCGGTCAGCTTTACATTCGAAGCCATCCGACCCAACATATTCAGGACGACATTCACTTCGGACTCGCATCCACTCCCTCCATACCCGTCAATCCCGCAGCCAGAGAGGAAGCTGGATAATGTCAACATCAACTCCAACCAGATCGGCGAGTCAAGTTGTTCCTTCGAGCTCGGTGACATAAGAGCATCAGTCGATTGGAGTCATGCTCCCGTCGTATCCTTGGGCTGGCTGGGGTCGAGGGCGATTCTGCATGCCGACCTCGCATTTCGTTCCTATGTCGTCGATGGCCAGGGTATCGCCCACTACGTCCAGCATGACCGCAAAGCCCTCCATGTGGGATTGGGAGAGAAAGCTGCCCCCATGGATCTCACGGCTCGGTATTTCCAAGTGTCCGCCACAGATTGCTTCGGGTACGAGGCATACGCTACAGATCCCATGTACAAGCATATGCCGTTATTGATCAAGGCCACTCGTCACGGCTGCGTGGCAATGGTTTCCACGAGCCATAGTCGAGGATCGTGGTCTGTTGGCTCAGAGATCGATGGTCTCTGGGGACACTTCAAGGTCTATAGGCAAGACTATGGAGGCCTCGAGGAGTACCTGATCATGGGACGCACCTTGAAGGACGTGGTTCGCAGCTATGCAGAACTGGCCGGTTTCCCACTTCTCGCACCTCGTTGGGCGTACGGATACTTGAGTGGGGGGTATCGATATACGATGATGGACGATCCGCCTGCTTACCAGACGTTGCTCGACTTCGCCGAGAAGCTGAAGGAGCATGACATCCCCTGCTCCGCGCACCAGATGAGCTCGGGCTACTCCATCGCCGAGACAGAACCCAGGGTGAGGAATGTGTTCACGTGGAACAAGCACCGGTTTCCTGAGCCCGAAAAATGGACTGCCCAGTACCACGCCATGGGAATAAGACTCTTGGCCAATATCAAGCCGTTTGTCCTGGCCTCGCATCCTGACTACCAGTACCTGGCCGAGAATCGAGGCCTGTTTACAGACCACCGAAACGGAAAAGCAGCGGAAATGCGTTTGTGGAGCGCCGGCGGTGGTGAAAGCGGTACCGGCAGCCATCTCGACTTTTCTTCTGCGGCGGCGTATGAATGGTGGGCCCGCGGCGTGGAGAGATTAAGAGGCCAAGGGATTGATGCAATGTGGAATGACAACAACGAGTACACTCTGCCCAACGATGAATGGAAGCTGGCTCTAGAGACGGTCCCCAAAGCCAAAGGTAACATCAACAACAACCAGGGATCGGATAACGTCGGACTCTGGGGCCGTGCCATGCACACCGAATTGATGGCCAAAGCTTCATATCAAGGTCTCCTCCGAGCAGAGCCTGGGGTTCGACCCTTTGTCTTGACGCGAAGCGCCAGCATCGGGACTTTGCGGTATGCTTGTAGTTCTTGGAGTGGTGACAATATGACCAGCTGGGAAAGCATGAAGGCGGCCAATGCAATATCTCTCAACGCAGGTCTAAGTTTGATGCACTGCTATGGCCACGACATTGGCGGGTTTGAAGGGCCGCAGCCTTCTCCTGAGCTGTTGCTCCGCTGGGTCCAGCTGGGATGCCACCAGATCCGCTTTGCCATCAATTGCTTCAAGACATCTCCCCAAGACAACCAAGCCGGAGAGGTCATTGAGCCCTGGATGTATCCGGAGATCACGCCCATGATCAGGAAGGCAATCAAAAGACGATACGAGATGATGCCCTACATCTACTCACTCGGCCTAGAGAGTCACCTGACAGCAAGTCCCCCCCAGAGATGGATTGGTTGGGGGTATGAGTCTGACCCAGAGGTGTGGACAAAAGCCCTCAAGTCTGGCGAAGAGCAGTATTGGTTTGGAGACACGTTGCTGGTCGGTGGTGTGTATCAGCCTGGTGTCGATACGGCCAGAATCTATCTCCCACGCCGTGCTGAAGAAGGATTCGATTATGGTTACGTCAACCTCAATGCGCCGTATGAGTATCATGCGTCTGGCCAGTGGGTATCTGTTTCGTCGCCCTGGAGGGAGAGCATCCCAATCTTCGCCAAAATCGGTGGTGCGATTCCCATTGGTAAAAACGTACAAACACGAATGCCCAGCGATACCAAGCCAGACTGTAAAACTCTTCCTGAGGACGACTACAGGGGCCTCGAAATATTCCCGCCCAGAGGAAGCTCTCATGGGAGAAGCTTCACCAGCTCTTGGTACGAGGACGATGGCCTCTCTCTTCATCCGGACATCTCATCCTTCATGGTGTCATACAGCTCCACGGATGAAAAAGTGACAGTTCAACTTGCTGCTGGCGCGGACAATGTCTTCATCCCGCCATGGAAAGAGGTAGTGTTCATCTTGCCTCGAGGAGATCAGAGATATGTTGAATCGGCCAGTGGAGCCACGATGGAGCGGATTGCATCACAAGACTGTGGGAGGGTTCGGTACAAGATGCAATTTCCTAGCACCAAGGGGGTAAATGGCCCGGCGCTGTGCAATGGACATGGTCAGTAGATGGTGGCATAATACTCCAAGCCTTCGACTTGTAGAGTTTAGTAGAGCACATGGATGACATAGAGCCAAGGGTGGGCCTGAAATATACACCTTTGAACAAACCCCCTCCCGACATCGCTTCCTGAAGACAACTTCTAGCGACCTCATGTCATGCTCGAGGACTTAGTTCATGAGCTGACCCTTGGGCGGGCAGGCGTGCCTCGGGAGGTGCTCGGGAGGAAGCAAGCTGGAGGAATTGGCGCGAGGTCTTGGCGTCTCCTTCAGATTAGATCGAATGATTCGAATGCATCTGATAAGATGAGAATTTTCACGGCGCTTGTCCCTTTTTGGACGAAGATCAACTTCGCCTCGAGCCCTGGCTTCTTGTCGTCTTCACTCGTGGTGGCATTTTGATCCACCGATCCTGCTCATCTCCCTTGCTCCCCCATCACTTTGCATGTGTGCCCTCTTGTGTGCACCTGTGGATCGTCTGATGCTCACTCCAAGCAAGACAAGCTAAAGTATTGCGATATTCTGATGTGACAGCGCTGAGACCCGGTGGTATGCCCAGCACTCCTTCATGCTTACCATCTTCAACAATAGGTCAGAATGTCTCCAGCCAAAAAGCTCGTCCTGGCTTGTTCCAGCTATCTGGTCAAGCCGAGCCACTAATTGTCGTTGCTCTTTCAATCAGAGAGTTTGCATGAAGAAGAAAAAATCATGAGCAACACTTTCTCGTGGTGGGGGACGGTGCAAGCTTGCTCTACATGGGTTCCATCGGAGGATCCATGCTATGACATTGGCATTATTTGAGCAAGGGTCAGCGAGAAAAAGGTGCTCATAAAAAGTGTATACGGCAAGTATTAATACCTTGTGCAACGCTCGCTTTTGCTCTCGTGCATCTCAGATGTCTTTCAATCGTTTCAACCCTCCATCATGAAGTTCAACGCAGCTTGGATCAAGCCCACCTTTACACCTGTAGCTGTCGACCAGCACAGCGACTCAGAAGCCCCTGCTTCGAGTGATGAGTCGAAAGGAGCACGTGTCGATTCGCAAGGACCTTCAACAGTCGAGTCCGACTCTCTCGCCGTCGATGAAGATGCCCAAACCGGTGTCCAGAAGATCCAGGCCACGGCACAGGCTTGGGGTAAGAATCAACTTGTCCTGGCTTATTTGCTGTAGGTTGACCGTGGTATCAAGTTTTCAAGCAGGGCAACTGACGGCGACATAGGATCTTCCTCATTTACTTTGTTGATTCTCTTCAACAACAGATCACAGGCGTCTTGACTCCATATGTCACCAGCAACTTTCAACTTCATTCCCTCACCGCCACCACCGGCATCCTCTCTCAGATCATTGGCGGCCTGAGCAAGCTCCCGCTCGCAAAGATCTTGGATATCTGGGGCCGCCCCCAAGGCTTCATCCTCATGGTGGTCCTGCTCACAATCGGTCTGATCATGATGGCGGCGTGCCAGAATGTCGAGACGTACGCCGCAGCTCAAGTCTTCTACTGGGTCGGCTACAATGGTGTCGGCTATGCACTCAGCATATTCATTGCTGATACCTCTCACCTCAAGAATCGAGGCTTGATGTTCGCCTTCTCTGCTTCGCCTTATATTGCAACCACGTGGGCAGGGGGTCCCGCTGCACAACGCTTCCTTGAGGGACCTGGCTTCCGATGGGGGTTCGGCACATTTGCCATTGTCACCCCTGCCATCTGCATGCCTGTCTTCTGTCTCTTTGTCTACAACTATCGAAAAGCGAGGAAAGCAGGCCTGATGCCCGTCCGCCAGAGCAACCGCACCTTTCTCCAATCCCTTCGATACTACGCCATCGAGTTCGATCTTTTCGGCTTGCTGTTGATCACAGCTGGAGTTGCGCTCTTCCTGTTACCATTCTCATTATACTCCTACCAGCGGGATGGCTGGAAAGCTCCCATGATCATCTGCATGATCATATTTGGCGGACTTCTGCTTATCGCCTTTGGCCTTTGGGAGAAATTCTGGGCTCCCAAAAAATTCATTCCCTGGGAGCTCCTGACGGACCGGACCGTTGTCGGTGCCAACATGCTCTCCGCCGTTCTCTTCATCAGCTTCTACATATGGGATTCCTTCTTCTACTCCTTTCTCATCGTCGTGAACAACCAGACCGTCACCCATGCAGCCTACATCATGAACATCTACAGCATTGGAGCCTGTTTCTTCGCGATCCCCGTAGGCCTCTACATCCGATGGCGTGGACGCTTCAAGAACATCGCCCTGTACTTCGGCCTGCCTTTGAACATCCTGGGCGTCTCGCTCATGCTACGGTTCCGTCAACCACACTCGAATATCGGATACATTATCATGTGCCAGATCTTCATTGCGTTCGCTGGTGGAGTCTTGGTCATTTGCGAACAGATTGCTGTCATGGCTGCAGCCTCTCACCAACACGTCGCCGTCGTCATTGCTATCGAGGGAATGTTTTCCTCGGTCGGTGGGGCAATCGGATCCACTATTGCAACGGCTATCTGGACCGGCGAGTTCAAGGGTAAGCTGCGGAAGTATCTGCCGGAGTCGGCGCAACCTGAGCTCGACACCATCTACGGCAGCTTGGTCGTCCAATCATCCTATGCTCCAGGAACCCCTACCAGAGAGGCCATCAACAGAGCATATGGAGACACCCAGAAGCTGATGCTGATCGCTTCGACGGCGTTCCTAGCCCTTGCCATTGTGTCGGTTCTCTTGTGGCGGAACATCTACGTCAAGGACATCAAACAGGTCCGAGGACGCGTAGCCTAAGTATACTGGAAATGGAAAAGCGCACGAAGGGTATAGGTCACAAGAACTGGAAATCTGAAACGGCTCATCATAAAATGGCTCCCATGGAGATGTACACGGTATGGACGACTTGTGATAGATTTAGAATAAAGAAATCTCAGCAGGTGTGATGGTGCCGTGGGGGGCCACGTGCTGGATCCAATGCGCTGACATAATATATGCATCTACTTTACACGTGACACGCGTCTGCAAGTGGCGCGTCAAATGACTGCAAGTGACATTTTCTGATTCTCACCCGCGTTCATCAGGCTGCGCCGCGCGACATTCTGCCTTGTTCAATTCTGCGCATGTGAAAAAGCCCAGCCGCATTCTTCTCTGTGGAAAGAAGGCGCTTCACTTGCCCGTTGCCCGATGAATGCGCCATGCTCAAGTCGTGTCAAGTCGGTGCTTCTCGAGTCAACAAAGGGCAAAAAGAGACTTTGTCGAGTGAACAAAACATAAAGCCAACGGACTGGTTTTGTTGAGTTGACCACTACTGCTATTTTTGACTTCCGCCTCTCACTTCTGCCTTCAACTGTACGCTTCTTTTGTTCTCATGGTCAGGCAGTTTTTACTCGCGCTCACCAGCGAGTTGCGTTGCCCCAAGTGGTTGCCCCGCCTGCGCCACATTCGCTCATTCACTCACTCTTAAAAGAACCGTTCAAACTTCGCAATTCCTACCAGCCTGATTGTAACAACACCTTAAGGCACGATGGACACCACAACCGACCCTGCTTTACTTGCCGAGATTGAAGACCTCCGCGACGAAATCGCTCTCAAAGAGGCGATCCTCGAGAGCTTGGATGAGAACAACGGGGACAACAGCGAGGACGAGGAACTCAGACATACGACACAGAAAGAGCTCAGAGGCTTGCAGAAACATATCCGGGCTCTTCTTGCTACCTCAAAACGAGAGCATAACGACGGTCTGCCTCACAGGATTTTGGATCAAGGTTCTGAGGGTTTGGCCGCCCAACGTTCTGGCAGCCACCACTCGCACGATGCACAACTACAAGGGTCTGGTCTCTCAAGCCATCTAATGCCTCCGCCTCATCATGAACTGGTGAACCGCAAGCGCTACAGACAAGACAGCCTCGACAATGGGAGACCGGAATCATCCAAATCTCGACGAACAAGTCCTAGTCCTGGCTCAGCCCACACTGCCGCTCCCTCACCCACTGCCTCCTCTGCTAGTCTAGGCAGTCTAGATGATCCATTTGCTGACCCACTCTTTGGCGGCTTCTCAAAGGATGAGGTTGTGCAGAATCAGGATTACTGGAAAAGACGGGAACACCAAAGGCAGCAGGAGGAAAACGATGCCAGACTTGCCCACCAGCTCTCACAGGAATGGTCTCAGGATTCTGGCCCGGATATGACACAACCCATTGCCCCACGTCAATCAGAGTATACCCAGTCCTTTTTCAAAACGGACGGAAGTATCAATCGACTTCCTGCAAGCCAGCCTTCATCCTTCCAAAACATAACTCGACCATTACCACCTGTGAAGCCGGAACCCTTGACTAATACAACTCAACTGCTGACTTCTGCTGCATTCGAGGCCACGGGCTCCAAAGTCAGTCCTAGCTTTACCTCTACGACGGCGATGCCTGGCGCTTTTCCCATCGGGTTTCCCCATGGGCAGTCCTATGGCAGCGTTGGCGGTAGTCAAGTGTACAACTTGACACCCTCCATCCCCTCCAATTATTTGATAATTTCTGACTCCAGCGACGAGGAGAAGAATCCGTCCTCTGACGCTGGCCGACCGAAGCAATCTCTGGCGGATCCTTCCTTCTCAACCCCCTATGGGAATCTGACATACGGGGCGTATGATTCGTACGGGCCATACGCATCATACGGATACCGAGACGAGGCTCAAACTCAAGAACAGTTGAAAGAGCTTTTACAGCACATTAGACCTGATGAAGAGCTCACTGCAGACCACATTCCGCAGCAGCCTCCAGGCCTCAAGGCGACTCTTATGCCTCACCAGCTTAGTGGCCTCGCTTGGATGAAGCGGATGGAAGAAGGCACTAATAAAGGTGGCATTCTAGCAGACGATATGGGTCTCGGCAAGACTCTACAGAGCATCGCCTTGATGCTAGAGCGTCCGCCACCCGATAACAAGCCTTGTCCTACTCTTGTCGTGGCACCTGTGGCACTGATGCATCAATGGAAACGGGAAATCGAGAAGATGGTTCGACCACGATACCGTTTGAATGTCTTCATCCTCCATGGAGAGAGCCGCAAAATTACATGGACCGCTCTCAAGGCCTATGATGTGGTTCTCACGACATACGGATTGCTTACATCGGAGCTGAAACGCAAGCTGGCACTGGATGAAAAGGCTAAGAAATTAAAGGACTGGCAGCCGTCCGTCGCCGAAGACTGCCCTATCCTTGGAGATAGATCGAAATTCCACCGTGTGATTCTTGACGAAGCACAAAACATCAAGAATAGGAATGCGAAGTCTGCCCTTGCTGCTTGTCGCATTCAGGCAGAGCATCGTTGGGCTCTTACTGGGACACCAATGCAGAACTCTACCGAGGAAATCTTCAGTCTCATCAAGTTCACTCGGATCCCACCTTATAACAACTGGGAACATTTCAGAAGGAGAATCGGTGCCCCACTCAGAGGCAGATATGAGAATGACAAGGACACAGCCATGAAAGCACTTCAAGCGCTACTCCGGGCTATCCTATTGAGGCGAACAAAGCAGTCGAAGATACATGGCCAACCCATTCTCCGACTTCCTCCCAAAGAGACCAGAGAGGATCGAGTTGCGTTCGACAAGGATCAGCTTGACTTCTACAAAGCTCTGGAAACAAGTGCTCAGATTCAGGTGAACAAATATCTACAGAAAGGGACTCTCGGCCGAAATTACTCTCACGCCTTGGTCCTCCTTCTTCGCCTTCGTCAAGCCTGCTGTCACCCAGCACTTGTTATTGCGAGCAAAGACTTTATCCAACTCCCAGGTGGAGAGCTGGACACTGATGCTCTCATCCGCAATGCAGAGCAACTCGATGCAAAGGTTGTTGCACGGCTCAAGGAACTGGATGCCTACGAATGTCCGATCTGTTTCGACGTCACAGAAAACCCTTCAGTGTTCTTTTGCGGGCATGCCATATGTGGGGACTGTCTCAATCAGCTCGTCGACCAAGCCAGCAACGACAACAACGGTGGACCTCCGGTTTGCCCTCAATGTAGGGCGAGGATTGACGTCAACAATGTCACGGACTATACTAGTTTCCTTCGCGTCCACTGTCCAGATCGGGTGGAAGCCCCGGAGCAAAAGGAAGATGACGCCGACTCTGACGTTGATTCTGACTCCGATGGCGACAGCAGCGATGACTCTGACGAGGGTGACGACCTCGACGGTTTCATTGTGTACGACGATGTCGAGGACGACTCCCAGGACGAGGAGAATGAAAACTCGAAGAAACGGTCGTTGAAATCCAAGTCCAAGAAAGGCAAGGAGCGGTCTAGGTCGAGATCAAGGCCGCGAACCAGAGAACCGCTCAAAAGCCTTGCACAACTTCGGAAGGAAGGTCTGCGCAACAAGGCTGCTAAACGGCAGTATTTGAAACGCCTCAAAAAAAACTTCCATCCTTCTGCCAAAATCACGCGTACTGTTGAGCTGCTGGAGGAAATTAAAAATAATGGAGAGAACGAGAAAACCATCATCTTCTCCAATTTCACGTCATTTCTGGATCTGGTGGAGTTACCTCTGTGGAAACACAAAGACTTCTCCCAGTACGTACGTTACGACGGTTCTATGAGCGCCAAAGACCGCAACGACGCAGTGCTCGAATTCACCGATAACCCCAACTGCAAGGTGATCCTGGTCAGTTTGAAAGCTGGAAATGCCGGCTTGAACTTGACTGTAGCAAATCATGTCATTATGCTTGATCCATTCTGGAATCCATTTGTCGAGTATCAAGCTGCGGACCGGTGTTATCGGATCGGGCAAACGAAAAAAGTCACTATCCACCGAGTTCTCATTGGTGAAGGAGATTCTAAGGCCGTCGTCGACCCTTCGGGCTTCACAGTGGAAGATCGTATTCTGCAGCTGCAAGAGCGCAAACGCGACCTAGTTGATACAGCCCTTGACGAGACAGCTGGTCGTGAGGTGTCCAGACTCGGTGTGCGGGAATTGGGCTATCTATTCGGCCTCAACGCCCTCTAAACACCAGTGTCTTAGCGGAGGCTTATTTCTTTTCGTGTCAATTGTATGAATGTGAGGGAGCACTGACTTTGTACGATGGGCGGCAGGCTGGAGGGGTTCATGGCGCAGGGAAAGGCTGGCGTGCTTCGAATATGAGACCTTATGAGACCTTATGAGACCTTATGAGACCAAAGTGGAACGACCCAGGTCTAGAAGATGCACTATTGGGTTTCATCTCAATGCCTCACAGAGAAGTGGCTGTATGATAGCGGGCGACTATGCAGAAACGGCTCTAGAACACATTTGCGTAGTTCAATAATTCATCTCAAAACTTGATTCGATTAACGTTTGATAAGCCGTAGAGTCATTCGTTTCTGGTCCTCACGCTACAAGCGTAAACCTACATGGCGATGGTACCAGTGTATAGCCCAAGGATGCAAGCAATGGCAGAGAAAGGAAAAAGGAGCACAGACAATCTCCAATTTGTCGTTCATATTTGCATGTCATTCAATCGGATCGACGCCGCTCGGCACGGAGGGCGCGAGACGTACAACTAGACATAGAGGTATCCCGTGATATAATATATAAAGCAACGCAAGTCCGCGGGTGGTTTTGTTTGTCCTTGCCCCTTCCCCACCTCACGCCTTGTGCATGTTCCCGATAGACTTTGTTGGGATGGATGATCCGGGTTACTCGGTTTTCGCAGCCTTGGTCTCGGTCTTCTTCACGATGCGAGACAGTATCTGCACGCGCAGCCAGCCAGGGAGCATGTGGAAGATGCCGAGCTGGACGGCGTGGCCGATGTAGGGGGTGACCTTGGGTCTGCCAACGCCGACCTTGTCGAGGACGGCTTTGGCGTAGGTGTGGGTGCTGGGCATGGTGAAGGAGATGTCGGCGTCGGACCTGCCGGAGGAGGCGGTGGCGACGGTGCCCGTGACGAGGGACATGATCTCGACATCCTGGCCGCTGAAGGCCATCTCGATATTCAGCACGCCGGCAAAGGCCTCGATGAAGGCCTTGACCCCCGTGTACAGTGACACGTAGGGGGTGGTCAGCTCGGTGACGGCGCTCGAGACGAACAGCATGAGGCCCGGCTGCCGCTGCTGCAGGATCGGGAGCAGCAGCCGCGTCATGTGCGTCGTGAAGCGCGCGTTGACGTTGATCCACCCGTCGCACTGCCGCGTGGGCATCTCGGTGAAGAGCACCATCTCGAACTGCGGCTCGCCCGACCCGGCCACGTTGTGCACCACCACGGTCAGATTGCAGTCCTTGACCGCCGCGAGCACCGTCTCGTCGAAGACCGGGCCCGGCGGCGTCGTCGCGTCGAGCACCAGCGTGCGGAACCCGGTGGTCGGGAACCGCGTCTTCAGGTCCGCGACGATCTTGTCCAGCTTCGCCGCGTTGCGTCCGTGCAAGACCACGTTGAACCCGCGCTGCGCGAACGCCTGTGCGAACGCCAGCCCGATCCCGTCGCTGGCCCCCGTGATCAGCACCCACGGGTCCGTGCCGTGGTGGTAGCGCTGCAGCTTGGAGCCGTGGAGGTGGAAGCGCAGCGCCGACGCCAGCTGCAGTCCAGCGTAGCCGAGGGTTGAAGCCCCGACCACGGCGCACACGTTGTATAGGGACAGGGCCATAGTGATTGAATGGATTGCAGGACACTGGGAAAGCGCACAGGCAAGAAGGAAAAGAGAAAGACGGAAGAAGAGAAAGAGAGAAAGAAAACCTACCTGTGAGTGAGCCAACCGGCGCAAGATATAACTACATCCAAAGCAATGGGCAAATAAATGGGAACGAGTGACTCAAAAACCTTGGAACAGAGAGTCGTTTACTAGCCAGCCAGCAGCCTCGATATGTATTGGTACGAGGAGCTCGTATTTATCCAGGGCCCAGATGGGGCGCCTCAAAAACGCTTATTTTGGTCCGCGTTCTCGTCATTGGCTTATCTTCTTGGTCCCGGCCGAGATTTCCTCCGGGGAGCAACGAGTACAATAATGGTAAAGGTTTGCTCCGACCCGGGTTGAGGAGTAGAAGAAGGAAGGGTGGCAGGGTGGTAAGTAGAGAGATATGGTGCCAGATCCATGCTCAGTTGGAAATAGCAGTGCGAGAAGACGAGACAGAGATTCCCATCATTGCCAGATCAAAGGTTGATGTCGATACCCGAAACGGCTTGATTGTCTGCAGAGCCGTCATTCCTTCAGACCTCCCTCATTGCCTTGTCCTGTCGACGAGGTCTGAGAACTAGTGGCATTGGTCCCAGGATATAACAATGTCCATATCTATTCCACACGCAAGAAGCGACAAGGCATACGAATACCAGAGAAGATATCTCTCGTGGCACCGCATCATCCTCTTGTCAACAGGTCGTCACATCGTCGAAAAGCACCACTGGTGTCACGACAGTTGCTGAGAAATGCTGCCGCTGGTTCCATGGGATATCCTATGCCTTCCGCCACTCTTGGCCTTCCCTTTCAGTGGATTATTTTTCTCCCATTCTTCGTCCGCCCTAAACGCCTCCACTGCAAGCTCCAGGTTGAAGTCACTGCCCTTGAGGTACAACTGGGCGACATTGTAGTTTGCACACTTTGTAGCGATCATCCACCGCCGCAATTTTGTCTTGCGCTCTTCCTCTTCTGCATCTGGTGGTGTACTCAAAGGAGGACCTGTGTAGTGGGATCGAGGGATGAGAATCCACTTGCGGGCAGCGAGGAGTTGATCAGAATAGAGGTTATTGTGGCGACGCAGGACTTGGAGGGGCACTTTGTAGGCCAGCGATAACGATTGTAACGAGTCTTCAGACCCCACGAAATGAACAGTGTCGTCGGTGTCGGCTGGCGGGCCTGTGCTTTGCTCTGTCGTCCGCGAGGGTCCTATCGAATCATCATAAGAGGGTGGTGGCGATTCTGCCCTTCTCGAACCTCTTGAAGTTGCAGTCGTAGAGTATGAGGGTGGCAGTCGGAGCCCTTCTCTCGGCAATGCAGACGGGCCAGACGATATCTGACAGAATGGGCAGTAGGCCTGAAACCGAGGGTTCTTATACTGACATGTCGCGCATATGAATCGGGAGCAGCAATCAAGTTGACGGTGATGGAACAGTGACTTCTCTGAGCGAGGGTCGTAGGGCACCTTTGCGTCCGAGAGGAGCGTGGCGCAAGTACAGCATGAGTCAGTCAGAGGCATTGGTATCGGGCTGTATGTACAATGAGAGATTTACGCCCGTTAAGTTGAACAGAAGGAAGGATTGAAGGTACAGGACACTAGTGGTGGGTATGTACATGTATGGACGAGGCTATGCGTCTCGTATGTCCAAGTAAGTCTAGACTCTGGTGGCTTGGGGTGCCCCTCCAGGCGTCATGGGGGCTGCAGCTCGGGTGACTGTGACTTAGGCACGCTTAGATCACCACCCACCCACCACCAGGGCTAAAAGTCAATGACATCACTGACCTGCGGGGCCAGTTGCCGCGTGGGCGAGGGCCAGGCGCCTCGGGGTTTCAACCAGGCGAGTTGCGCTCATCAGAATACCACAATCGAGGCCTGCAACCACAACCACAATTCAATTTTTGTTCTATCTGTAGCTGGTCCAAGCACTGCTAGAACCACGTTCTGATCCCCTCGCATGATCTACACCAATCAAGATTTCGCCGACTCTGTGCACAAGCCAGATCTGAGATGACACTGGACAAGTTTTACCATGGCATTCAAGCACTGAAACCCTGTCCATCTCCACCCCCCGCGGGAGTAGAACGCGCAGAGAGACTAGGGAGTCTGTGGATTCTCGTATTTCAGGTTCCACGTCCAAATCCGCAATAAATCCAGGCACCGGGACAGAACATGAACCGAGTGAATACCCGCAGTGAAAAGGGAGAACCCAGTTACCACCTGTTTAGGGACTGATCTGTTCTTAGTCGCAATCATCCTCCCGAGTATCACAACTAGAACAAATATGACATCGACTGACCATGGCTGACCAAGAATTTCTCGGAACATGGAATTTCCATCTGACTCTATGGCTTTTGGGATACAAAGGGGAAAGAATACGAGATACGTCGGCACCAAACATGGGCACAAGCGCGGGCAAGAAATTACGCACCTTGCAAGGCTGGGCCCCTCAAATATTATCTCAACCATATCCACCTGAAAAGGGGGAGAGAACACGTGCATCGTATACGCGAAGCGGCCTGATCATTCTGGCATCCATCCGCAGAAAGTGGCATCTGGCATCTGCTTACAGTAAAGCAATACGAGCCATGTCAGATCAAGCACCAGACTATCCTTCAATCGGCTCAGAACCTTCGTTTTCCCACAACCCGAGCGAGGCGCTCGGCCAATCGAATTGCGTCTGCCTGACCTAGTGTCCAGACAAGCTTGCGTGGCTTCCTTCGGTCTTCGAGTCTTCCATGAACACCCCAGCCCCCAATTGCGTGGCAATGTATCGACGTGCAGATGGCGAGATGCAGACAATGCCGAGAATGGAAGTGTGAGGCGGTTCTGGCTCCAAATTTGGGACTCCCGTACTCGGCCGTTGTTGACGTTGAGTGTCCTGGTGATACTCGTCACCACGGGGTGCTGTGCACAAGACGCAGTCCCCTCTAGAACCGAATCACTCTGCATATCTTATGGAGAGAAACCTTTAAAATTAGCTGAGTGGAGTGACAGTCTTGATATTGGTAACGTTCAAATAGGCACCAGGTTTACAGTGCTAATCCTTTCCTTTTTCTTGCTCTCGCAAGACCTTACACCCCGTTGCCTTAAGTTCCAGGAATATTCGTCTCGAGCTCAATACTGACAAGCACAATATTTTCCAAGCAAACATGGCTCCCTCTCTAGATCAAGCAACCCAGAATCACAACACCTCACACGCACATGCACACATACAGAATATCAACAATGCAGCCAAGAAAAAGGCACCACGCAAGAAACCAGCAGCGAAGGTGCCTCAGGCAAAATCTCTTCTTTCCGAAGACCTCGGCGGAGGATTGGCGCAGATCCTCATGACCCAAGCCAGGGACATTGACTCGATGAACATCATCCAACGTCTGCAATTCCTTAAGCGGGATGCCTTGCTGGGACCAAGATTTATCGACTTTAACCAGAGCAGCACCACTGTTCTGACGACTTCGTTTGCTTCCCAAGGCCTATTGTCGCCTGCCCACGATGTCTGTGAACATCAGCAGTGCATATCTACTTCGATGACTGTCAGCTTCAACTCCTCCAGCACGAGCCTGAACCATATTCCTGGCCAACCAAGAAGAAAGAATAACGATATCCACACCTTTACACTCGACGACTTTACGGCCATTTCGGCACTGGGCTCCCTGGTGGAGCGCTTCGGCAAAGTCTCCCACATGGGGATTCTCGACCCTAGCTACCGATTCTTCATGACCAAGGATCGCCAAGCAGCACTTTATTACAAGGTCAGGAACAATGTTGCCGTTGTTGGCGGCGATCCTCTCTGTGATCCAGCAGAATACAATCATCTTTTGTCTGAATTTCGTCGGCTGCGTAAACGGCGGCGTTGGGGCGTGGTCTTTCTGGGTGCAACGGACGAGTTCGCATCATATGCAAGCAAGCAGAAATGGGTGACTATGCGATTCGGCACCGAGCGAGTCCTCAATCCTCTCAACAACCCTGTCCTCCAGGAGAAGGAGCAGAAGAGGATGGTTACACAAAACAAGCATCTCCTCGACCCTGAAAAGGGGGGCATATCAGTCCAAGCTTATGCTCCAGCTCAGGGGCGTGACGAGGCTTTGGAGCGGGAACTGCGCCAGGTGTACGACCTGTGGAGAGAGTCTCGCAACCAGTCCGGCCAGCCACAGGCGTACATGACTGTTTTCGATCCATTTGCCATCCCAATGCTCATGACATATCTCTATACCACGGATCGACAAGGCCAATGCAATGGCTTTGCCGCTCTGCGCAAGATTGGTGCGAATAAGGGGTACCACATTGATCCTTACTGTGCAACCCCAACGGCACCGAAAGGCATCACCGATCTCCTCGTCTTCTCTGCCATGTCTCTTCTTCAGCAAGCCGGCATCGGCTATCTGAGCTTCGGGTTCGAACCAGCCTCACAGCTCGACGAGGTCACCGGCCTGTCGCGGCCCACGACCGCACTCACGAAATCCTGCTACCGACGCGCATTCCGCCATCTGCCCATCGGCGGCAAGAAGGCCTACCACGACAAGTTCCGCCCGGACCCCGCCCTGGACTCTGGTTTGCACATCATCTACCCGAGCGGCGCGCCGAGTCTGCAAGACGCCCTGGCCACGCTGCACTTTGCCAATGTGGAAGTGCGGGAGCTGTTGAAGCGCGAAATCTTCAGTGGGTGGTGGAGAACCAAGGAGTCCGCCCGCGGTCCCGAACAGGAGAAGGGAGGAGAGACGGCGCCTATCGCAACGACCACCTGACTTTTCTCGGCGTCGAGACATCCGATTAGGGTCTCACCAGACGTTTCGCACGGACTTTCAGCTCGCTGGAGGGAACTCGAGGGCGTAGGGTGTACGAGGTACGGCAGGCTAGTATGCAGGTATGCAGGTCAAGGTCTTGCGCGGCTTCAGGGTCAAGCCAGAAAAGGGAGGATTGGGAAGCAGGAGGGAGGGATATAGAGGCCTCATTTTCTTCTTCTTCTTCTTCTTCTTCTTCTTCTTCTTCTTCTTCTTCTTCTTCTTCTTCTTCTTCTTCTTCTTCTTCTTCTTCTTCTTCTTCTTCTTCTTCTTCTTCTTCTTCTTCTTCTTTCTTTTCTAAGCCTTTGCTTATTTCTTGTTTCTTTTCATTCCTCCTACCGGTCCTAAAAGTGATGGAAAACAAATGAATATTGGCTCGTTTCGTCCAATCTTACCCTGTCCACCCATGTCTCATCTTTTTTGGTAAAGCCGGCCGCCCCTTCTTATCTTT